TAACAGTTGTTTTTTATAATAAAAGGATAACATAGTGGAAAATTACAGAAGAAAGCATTTAGTCCCTAGGTGTCCTTTCTTTGGGGTGGTAGGAAAAGCCCATACTGATTTCACACAGACTTTATCTGCCATCTGAGTGGAACAAGATTAAAGTTCTGACCTGTACATTTAGCACAGCTGATAATCCCCTGAATGTCAAAAACAGGTGATAGTGTGATATTTGTCTAGCACGCGGTTACCTTGTAATCCTACCTGGGTCTTCAGCATTCCCCCAGCCTTATCAGAAGCTGATGGGAAATGCAGAGCCCTGTTCACTAGAGGTGGGGGGTATACTGTGCCTCCTCCAAATGAAGGGCATGGCAGACATGGTCATTTGCAAACTTATCTGCCAAGGTATCTGCCAGCCCATCAGTGTTCTCTGGTAAACAGGTAACCTGAACTGGTGGATTCCTGCAGACAGGGAGCGATTGAGTCCCCTTGCCAGAGCAGCAGAGAAGAGTTTGTCTGTTTCAGAGTGTGGATGCTGGTCCTGCTGGCCACCGAATAGCCTCTAATTAAACACAAGTACTGTTGCATAGTTTTTGAAAGTGCGGGCATGTGGTTATTGAGCCCTGTTAGGGCTCATGGTGTCTCCCTACAAGGACATCTGAGACCAGAAGAAATTAGCAAGGCTCTACCCTGGGCTTCCTGGAGGAGAGCTCCTTCTGCTCTTGCAAAGGAAGCTTTCAGCAAGAAAGCTATTATCTAGTTGTTCTGTTCTTTTTTTAAATTTTTTTAAATTCTATTTTATTTATTACTATTAGTATTTAATTTTCTCAGAGAGAGAGGGGGAGAGTGAGAAAGCAATCCACCAAGTCTGGGACTCGAACCATGGTCAGTCATGTGGGAATACAGTGCCTCAACCACCATGGCACCCGCCTGCCCCATTATTTAGTTTTTCTTAATCTGTTGACTATGATGATGGGTAAATAGATGTATATGAAACATACATTTGGGGGAAAATCAACATTTAGTTATTTTCTTTTATTTTTATAACATTTATTAATTTAATGCAGGGAAATAGAAAATGGTCTGAAAATCATACTGCCCAAGAATTCCCCTTGGCATCATTTTGAGAATTTTTATTCCAGCTTATCATACATGTAAGAAAGCATACAAATTAAAGTATTCAGCTTGATAAATTTTTGCAAGTTGAGCATATCTTTGTCACTGGTACCAGCTCCAGGATTAAGAGAAAACATCCTTAATACTCCAGAAGAATCCTTGGCTTCTTCTAGGCACTATCTACATCCAAGGGAAATTGCCATCTGGACCTTTTACCACATAGATCAGTTTTGTAATGTGCCTTTTTCCTTCAATAAATAAGAATAAGACAGTTAACATGTGATTAGAAAAGCTTAAAGGTACAGAATCCTAAACTAGAAAGCAAAACCCTCCAACCCTCCTTTTCCGTAAATGTGACTTTTATTTATAATTTTTTTTGGTTTTACCTTTTTTTTTTTTTTTTTTTTTACTCCTTTCAGAAAAAGATTTATGTCACTTGCCAGCACTATTTTCTCTTTTTCCTTTTTTTTTTTCTGAGAGGTTTTTGGTATAGGGTGTGTGCACTCACCAGAAAGATAGAGACAGAGAGACAGAGAGACAGAAAGCAAGAAATCACCCCCTAGGGGAGATGGCCATGCAGCAATCCCTTCTCTTCCATTCTCCTCTGGTGCTCATGGGGGGGTGAGTTTAAGCCACTGGGTCCAGAACTCGAACCATGGTCAACTACATAGGAGTCTGGTGACATAGCCATTACGCCAACTGCTGGTCCTGCCAGCACTATTTTTTCTTCATTTCTTTCTCCTCTTCCTCTCTTTCCTTCATCTTTTAATTTACACATGACATATTTTCTATATATTGAGTTTTTTTTTCTTTTTCTTTTCTTTTTTTTTTTGTCTAATTAGTTGCTTATCTATCTGTATAGAGGATTTTTTTGGTCCAATTAGTTGCTTATCTTCTTTGTACCATTTTCTCCTCAAAGAGTATTTGTATAGATTTCATATTTTTCTGTTAAAAGTACTTCTCTTATGGGGAGAGGGGAGAAAAGAGGGACATTCTACAGATGTTCCCAAATGTTCTTTATTAATGGAGGGAGAACAAAAAAGAAAGTACTTCCTTTTCCTTAATTTAAGAAGATAAATTAAGTCTCCTATGATAACCTCTGCTTCTTCTCCAGATTTCTAGGTCCTTCTACAGCAGAACCAAAAAACATGAAAGCAAACCCCTTACCTAAGAGAAGGACCCTCTATGCTTCTACCCCAGGAACTCAATCCCCATCAGAGTTAGCCGTTCAGCAACTTGTAGAAAAGTCCGTTCCTAAACTTTCTAATTTATTGGTCTAGTATTTCATTATTATCAAATATTTTCTTTCCTATCAAGTTGAAAAATGAAAATCTTTTTTTCCAAAACAAAATACCTAGAGATCACCTAAGGTTCCTTCAGTGAGCCTGGCTGAGCTTTGTTTTTCTTTTGCTGGGGAAATTGCCATCTGGAGAGGCATTTTCCAATACTCCAGACTTTAAGCCTGCAACTTTGTTTTTATTAAAATATGTTTTTCCAATAGGTGGCACTAGCGTGTTTAGGTAGAATTAATACATCCCCAGTGGTGGAAGTTGCACAGTTCAAAATAGCTGCACTTACTACTTATCACCAAGTTTCTCTTACACTCCTAGAGGTTGTCTTGACTTCTCAACACCTCAGAGGGTTGCAAGATACTCAAATTAGCATTTCAGAAATTGGACCTTGCCTTGTGGATAGTGATTTTTTTTTAAAATAATAATACTGACAGAGAGAAAATAGATCGCCAATAAAGAGGATTCCTTTTGCCCTTTAGTTTGGGTAAGATAATGTTAATAGCCAAATTTTCAAATCGATGATTGAAATTTTTCTTTTATATACAACTAAACACCAGAGAAGCAACTAGAGTTTAACTGATCCATGTGTCACCTATGTGAAATTCCTGTTGAATGTCCAGACAGAGCCACCCACTTCGCTTCTGTTTCAGATTTTCCCTTTGGGAGACAGGAGCAATTGTGCTTTTCCCCCAAAGAATCATTATGTTGGATGATATCTCATAAGAGATTGCTCTTCATTCAAGGTCAGTTTATATAATGCCCTCAAAAAGACTTTAATCCTTACCTCCTTTTCACAATATTGAGAAGGGGAAATTAGAGCTGCTCTGGGAGAACATAGGAGTTACAGCCAGTGGGGACTTGCATTGCGTGAATATAATCATAGTCCTTTCCCTTTTGATCTGCATGACATGGAAGAATCATACGAACTCTGCTTATTAACACATCTGTAAAATCAAGTTGAATATAGTAACATCAGCTTCTTTTATACTTTGAGTAAACAAAAAGTCAGATATTTTAAAAACGTCAGGCATGACTTGAAGAGACAGTCTTTATTTTTCACTCTCATAGGTCAAAAACTATGCCTGTGTTTGTAGCTGGCATCTGAAGTGGGGAGCACTCTTGTGGAACTGAGCCCTCAACCTGTGGGATCTGATGCTATCTGGCAGTAGATAGTATCAGAATTGCTTTCAATTAGGGGACATCCAGCTAGCGTCTACTAGAGAATCCACTGGAGAATTGACCAAATGTTAGAGGAAAGATATCCCCACATGTTTTGGTGATCCAAGAGTGTTCTGTGCTGGCTGTGTGAGAGTGCTAACACCGGTGCATTTTTCTTTCAATAACTCTTTAGAATACTGTTTTTTTAAATACTTGAAATATTTCATAATTAAACATTAAATAATTTTTAATAAGCATCACTGTGTTTCAAAGGAAAGGCAATATGTAAATGGAAGATAACATTATATAAAGCTTTTACTCATCAAAGTGATACCTGATTATTACATAAAATGTGGAAAATTATAAAATGGAAGCCAGGGGAGGAAATCATCAACCATAAGTGGACTATCCCGTTACCAAAGTCTTAACACTTTGGGAGATTGTGAAAGGATTTGCACAAAGTTGCTTATAAGAGTGTAGTAAATAAATAAAATAGGACTGCTTTAGTAGACAAGGGACAAATCCAGCACCTTATAAATCTACTTAAATTGTTGAGAAGGTCACATGGGCAGAACATTCAACTAAATGGCTTTTAAAGTCCTTTTCCAAACTAAAATTCTGTGATATGATACTTTCAGTCATTCAACAAGACAGTAATGGCTGTGCTATACACATGGACAGTATGAGAAAATATCACTGAGAGCCTTGGAATATATAAAGTATAGTGGTAATAGATGGTGTCCAGATACATAATATTACTGTGTGCTCTTCTGATTCTAATCTTCTCTAGCCTGACATCTGAGATCTTCGACCTACTTTTCCAAGCTATAATGCTCCACATTCTAAAATGTCTGGGGGATGGGGAGGGGCCAGCCCTGTAGCACAGTCGTAAAGCGCCATGCATTGGGACCTAGATCCCACATGGTTGACACAATTCACATCCTATCCCCAGCAGCTTGAAAAACATGCTGGGCACATGTGTGTGTGTGTATATATATATATATATATATGCCAGGATCCTGATGGGATGGAGGAATGGAAGAAGAATTACGGCATAACCATACTTCTTTGGGAGGTGCTTTTTCTCTCCTTCTCTTTGGCAAGCACATAATCTCTATAGCAATTAATGGGAAAAATAAATAAACACATAAATAAATAAATAAAAGAAGGTTTTGTTTGTTTTAACTGTAGCCATACTGAAAACTGTCCAAAGTACAGGCCCTCATTTATGCTGTTTGTCTCCCTTACTTCCCTTTAAATTTACTGAAATCCTGCCCCTCCATGGTTTTTCCTGAGTCACGTTTTCAATGAAACCTTTCCAGATTGACTTCATCAGATGCCTTTCCTTTGTTCATGTACACTTTATGATAGGTTACAGCTTACCCTCAATAGGCCACAGAGTTATATTTATTTGTCTTGTTATGACTATGAGAAATAAGATAGCCATTGTAACTTGATCATAGCCACAGTCTTACAGTGCTTAGCACAGCATCTTGTCATAGCAGAGGCTTTATAACTAATCATTGACTGGAATTAAATATACCCCCAGTAATAATTTCAAGTATTAAATTGCAGTCCAAAGACTAGCTCCTCCATAGGAAGAAGGCTATATGGAAGTAGAGCCTTCTCAGCAAACTAAAGACAATTGCAACGATGACTTAGTGATATTCTTCATGCAAAGGTCACAACTTGATGACCCACAAGTTGATCTTAGCCTTCAGAGCTGTTCTTTCTATATTATACTATGTGTACCTATGCAGGGTTATGATTTTTTTTTAAAAATTGAGTTACCAATACCTTAAAACCAGAAGATTTCACACAAAAATCTGGATTTCTTCTTTTACAAGAAGCCCAAGTTCTTGCATGGCAGCAATCTACAATAGCTTGATAGTTCTGTTTTTGTATGAGGCATGTGCTCTCCATCTTGCCAGAGACCCCACCACTCCTTGTATATCTGATGTGGTTCCAACTCAATGTCTATTTATCATTGTACTTTTGTTTATGTACTTCTGCTTCAAAAATAGAACCCAAAGAAACATAAAAGAACAATTTTATCCATGTTTTTAGTTTATCTTTAAAATAAAAGTATAAAAATAATTACTACCTGAGAAGTAATTTGTAGCATAGATTAACCTTGCTGGTTCTGGTATCAGATGGTCTGGCTTCAAATTCTGATAGCCCTTCCCACTTAGGGTGCCCAGATAAAATACAGGAAACATAATTAAAATTGAATTTCCCAGAAGTTAGGCAGTAATGCAGGGATAGAAGACAACACTCTGGGAGGCAATGGTACAAGGGGAAGTTCTTGGTTTGAATCCAGAGACCTTCCTAAGTAAGCCAGATGTGTGCTTGCCCATGATCTGGGGCTGGCGGAAGGCTCTGGGTGATTGTGGTAACTGTTGACAACCAGTTCTACAGCCTCGTGGTTAAGAAAGCTTCATTTTATGTACCAACCAGACTGTGAATCCTGGCCCTACATGGCTTGAAAAACACATTGGGCACATGTGTTTGTGTTCTCAAAATCCTGACAAGATGGGGAAATGGCAGAGAAGGAATTGCAGGTGACGGTGCCCCATTAGGAGGTACTTTATCCCTCTTTCTTTCTTTGTGTTTGTTTCTCTGATGAGCACATGTACACTTTGGCAATTAAAAAATAAATAAATAGAAAGGAACCTGTGGGGAGTGCTCTCTCTCTTTCCATGCTCATCAAAGAAATAAATAAACTTTTAAAAACTGAGTTTCAGATAAACAGTGAATAAGTTTTTCTTTTCTTTTTTAAATAATTATTTTATTTAACATTATTTATTTATTTTAATTTGACCAGAGAGGGATAGAGAGAAAGAAAGAGAGAGAGAGACTTGGGACTTGAACTGGGGTCAGCCATGTGGGAGTCCAGCACCCTTAACCACCACACCACCTGCTGGCCCCAACAGAGAATAAATTTTAATTTTTTTTTTTTTTTTTGAGAGGTTTTTGCTATAGGGTGTATGTGTTCGCCCGAAAGACAGAGACAGAGAGACAGAAAGCAAGAAATCACCCGCCCCCCCGAGGGGGATGGCCACGCTGTAATCTCTTCTTCTCCATTCTCCTCTTGGGATCTTGGGCATGCACACACATGTGCCTGGCTTGGGTTTAAGCCACTGAGTCCAGGACTTGAACTGCGGTCGATTACATGGGAGTCCAACGACAAAGACATTATGCCAACTGCTGGTTCCTTAAGCATGTATTTTAATTGCTAAATCTGAGACTCTTCTGCTTGCTGTGTGACCTTGAACAAATTACTTAGCTTTTCTGTGCTTCAGTTTCTTTATTTGTAAACTGGGGATGATAAAGGGACATTGTGAAGTTAAAAAAAAAAATTAGCCACAATTACATGGCGGATGGTGATTTGAGTCGTAGATCCTACTGCTTGAAACTCATACCCGACATGTGTGCATGTGTGCCCCAAATCCCAAGAGGATAATGGAAGAGAAGGGATTGCAACATGGCCATCCTCCCGGGAGTGCTTTCTCACTTTCTGTCTCTCTGGCGAGTGTATGTGCCCTATATCAAAAAATCTCTCAAATAAATGAATAAATGTATAAATGAATGAATGAATCAATCAATCAGCATATTTTCTTGGGTTGGTGGAGACAGTGTCTACATGTTTGATAAATAAAGTGTGTCTGTGTTGAAATACACAACTTAAGATGCTCTATTTGAATAAGCATTAGGGGCCACTCTAGAAAATCTCAGTATCTTAACAGTAAAGGTTTATTGCTATCTCATTTAATGTGGAATATAGATCAAGGGCCATCTCTTTATTACATAGAAGATGCAACCTCTAGGGACCAGCAGTTAGCATAATGGCTATGTCGCTGAACTCCCATGTAGACAACTGCAGTTTAAGTCCTCGACTCGGAGGCTTAAACTCACGCCGGGCGCGTGTGCATGTGTGCCCAAGATCCCAAGAGGAGAATGGAGGAAAAGGGATTGCGGTGTGGCTATCCCCCCTGGGGAGTGATTTCTTGCTTTCTGTCTCTCTGTCTCTCTCTGTCTTTCTGACAAACGCATGGGCCCTATAGCAAAACCTCTCCAAAAACAAACAAACAAAAAGATGCAACCTCTAAAGTTGCCACGGCAAAAGGAGATAGAGTATTCTAGGTAATAGCTAGAGCATTCTAGCTAGTAACAGCCTCGATCATGAAGTGATATAAGCTGTTCCCACTAATATTGGCCAGGTCTAGTCACATGTCCTAACTGTCTCTTTCTGTGAGAAGGAGGAAGCTGACCTAAGTTGAGGTGACTATGCTTTTGATTTGAAAACATTAAAAGAATCCAAATTAGAGCAGAAGGGAGAGAGAAGGCGGAAATTTTGGAGGCCCCCAGGTTAGAGGAATTAAGTCGTAAGGTTTTTTCAGTTTGTAGCACATATACCAGATTTCACTTTTCATTTTGAATTTGGAGCTAAATAAACCCTGATGCCTTTCGGCATTTGCAGAATAAGCCTCAGAAGATACACAAATGCCTGAAAAGGTCCAATCATTGGGGTAAATCCAGGTGTTTGCCTGGAATGGAATTTCACCGATGAGACTTCAGGCTGCAGCTTTGTGTTAGCAGAACGTGACATTGATCAATGCAGCTGGCATGGGGGCTCACTCACAGGTCTCTGGGGCTGAAGGTCAATGTTGGCTGCCAGGCTGCTAAGGTTAATGAGCTATGTTCTTCTAATCTCATCTTAAATGGAGTTTCCGAGCTGTTAATAGGAAAGGAGTGAGTGAGCTGGAGAGGAATAATAGCCTATGATAAGTGATGAGGATTTGTCAGTTATGCCCAATGTGTACAATTCATAAAACAGCAAATAGTTTCTGATCTGAAAATCTGGATTTGCAGCTTTGGTGATTATTCTTACATAAGTTCTGAGAGGTTGCGAGTATGGACTTGAAAACAGACTCAAACCCCTAGAGCTGATAAGCCATCTGTGTGTGCTCATGAAAGGAGAAGTTTATTTCATTTTAGTTTATTTAATTTTTATAATCTTTGAAAGAGGAGGAAGGTGCTATTGGCAGATGTATAATATACGTACAGTGGCCGATGTGGTGAGACCAAGAGTCAGAGAAAATAATTTCTCTGATATCATCACTCTGCCTGGGTCATCTTCTAAAATTGCATGAGCTCTGGTCCTAGTGCCATAATAATCTCCGAATCGAAAAAAATTAAAATTCTCCCAAAAGACCACCCATTTGTTCTATGCATCATCATCATTGGGAAGTATGTGTTAGATGTGTAGTGAAGTCAGGGAGACTTATTAAGCACCTAAATTTCCTTGAGATCTTTGATTTGCTTTGCTTCTGTCCAAAATCCAGAAAACTCTGACAGCTTTATGATTCTAATAAGACATCCCAAATATAATGTCTTAATACCATCAAGTAAAAAGCAGCCAAAACCTTACAATTTCATCCTTTACTCTCTTTTCTCCTTTTAAAGAGGTTTTTTTTTTTTTTTGCCTTAGGGCACACGTCCTCACAGAGAGAAAAATAGAGACAGGCAGACAGACACGAGTGAGAGGGAAAGTGAGAAATCATCCCCCCAAGGTGATGGCCATAGACAATCCCTTTTCCTCCATTCTCCTCCGGGGATCTTAGGCTTGCACATACACATACCCAGTGTGTTCCAGGCCACCGGGTCCAGGACTCAAACTGCAGTCAGCCACATGGGAGCCCAACAATGTAACTACTACACCATTTGCTGCTCCTCACAGTGTAAATTATAAACAGTTATTACAAGGTATAGCTATAACTCACAGATATAGAATGCATATGTGTGTGTGTACACACACACACACATGCATTTATTAAGTCTTTAGCATGTAGTAGATTATCTAGCAGAAGTTGTGTGGAATATCAGAATGAATTATTGAGTTGTCAGAAAAGTCATGACATATTTTCACTATGCAAAAAAGATATGTCATAACTTTTCAGACAATCCAATAGTTCTTAGACGTAATAGCTTGAGGTCTAATAGGGGAAAGAAGATGTATCTCTAGACCATTTTAAAATACAAAAGAAAAGTTAACAAGTCTCTAAAACAAAATTAAAAAAAAAAAAAAGAACCAAAGAGCAAGAGGAGAGAAAGCTCCTCATATCTGAGGTGCTGGAAGATGTAAAAGGAGAGATGCATTCAGCCACAAGAGACAGATAAACTGACTGTGACTTGAACCATAAGGTTAATTTCTTAGCAAGAAGTCCCAAACCAGATAGATCAGGCATCTCAACAACATCATGGAGGACACAGGTTCTGTGATTTTCTTTTCCTCCAATGTATTATAATTTTACTGGGCCACAGGATGCCCTGATAACTGATTGAACATTTTTTCTGGGTGTGTTAGTAAGAAATTAGCATTTTTACCCTTTTGTGTTTCTTTTAGTTTGCTAGAGGGTGTGTGCACTTGCTAGACAGAGACAGAGAGAAAGAATGGGAAAGTGAGAAAGTATCCCTGTAGGGGATGGTCATGCTGCAGTCTTATCTCCTGTATTTCTCTTTTGGGGATTTTTGGACACACACACACACACTTGACATGTTTCTCAAGCCACTAGGTCCTAGACTTAAACCGTACAGTTGACTGTGTGGAATCTAGTCACCTCAGCCACCACACCCAGGGTTGGCTTGAGAAATTAACATTTGAATTGGTGGGTGGAATCTTCCAATCCACTGAGGACCTGAATAGAACAAAATAGCAGAGAAATGTAGATTCTTTTTCTACCTGTTTGCTTGAGCTAAAACATTGATCTTCTCATGGGAATGGTGCTGCTAGTTTTTAGACCTTTATATCTGGACTAGAATCTACATTAAATATCTGGCCCTTAGGCCTCTGAAACTACACTACTGACATTCTTGGGTCTCTATCTTGTAGGGAATAGACCATAGAATTTCTTAGTCTTCATAAACACATGAACCAATACCTTATAACAAAGTCTCTGAAATAGATAGACAGAAAGACAGACATATACTCTCTTAATGGGTTTGTTTG